ACGCAAAATGGTCCATTAGTCCTTAAACAACTCTTGGTATATTGCTGTGCACACCAAATTGTACAGAGAATATTCCCACTCATATTCCAAACCATATCTACACCCAGAGTAGAGATCAGCCAGCCAGGAGTCTCCTTCAATCAAGTGACAAACCCCTTACGCAAGCTCATCTAAGTAATCAGACGAGGGAACCGGTGGGGGCGGGTGTTAGTGCTTCAGACAACTGCAGAGCCCGGGAGGGGTGGGCTCCAGACACCACCGGATTCCTGGGCTCGAGAAGGTCTCAGGCTGTTTCCTCCATCTCTTGGCTCTGCTTTATTTCCTGCTCGCTTCGCATCCAGGAAAGCCCTCAGCACGAGGCGGTCCCTGTCAGACCTGGATGTATGTTCTACCTGTTCAGCGAACCCACCAAAAAGAAGGGACTTCGTTCCTAGTGGTCGCAGCACATTCTCAGACCTGGCCACTCCACCTCCCCTGCGCCCCGTGCGCCACCTGGACTGAGTGAGGGCAGAGCATCCCCCAAGGGGACACAGAGTCCGGTCACCCACCCAAGAAGGGGAGATGGACGCCAGGCAGGAACATCAGACCACAACACTAAGAAACGGTGTTGTAGTAAACTAGGATTCTTAATAATACTTCTTAAACTGCATGCACTTGTATCTTTGGGATTTAATTGCAACAAAAGATTTTTGAGGCAGTCAATGGGAAGAAAAGAGTGACATCTGTAATAACTCTCAACAATTAAATAAATAAACAAATAAATAAATAAACATTCCCCCAGAAAGATGCATATGTGACCGTGTCATGCAAAGTGCTGCCTGCTACTGCAGGAGGGCTGGTGCGTCCCCGGAGCCTAGCTGATGACGTGGAAACCAGGGCAACTTTCAGAAGTGAAAGACAATTTAGAAGAATCTGCCTCTCATATCTGAGAGCAACAATTTTAGGTGTTGTTTTTTTTTTAAATCCTCACCCAAGGACATTTTTCCATTTTTTGTTCAGATAGAGTGGGAGGGAGAGAGAGAGAGAGAGAAACATCAACATGAAAGGGACACATCAAGTGGCTGCCACCCGTATGACCCAACCAGGGCCGGGAACAAACTGCAACCGAGGTACATGCCCTTAGCGGGAACCAAACCCGGGTGTCTCTGGACTGCAGGCGGACGCTCTAAGCACTGAGCCAAACTGGCCAGGGCAATTTTAGGTGTTCTTTTCCTTCCTTCCCTCCCTCCCTCCCTTTCCTTCCTTTCTGTCTCCTCACCCCAAGCAATTCCGTTTGTGAAGAATTCCCCCTCCCGCAGCTATTACCCTCATTGTGAATGAACAAACTCTGAGCATCTAAACTGGGCCAGATGACTATTTTGTCCAAATGAGAGACTGTCACAGACCAACCTTCCAGTTGGATGACTAACATACTGGCGCAAGAGTGACGTCTGTCTGTCTGTATTTGGCACAAGAAAATGAGTGTTCTGGGGCAAGGCTGTGTGGTGAGTCTAAGGGCTCAGCATGAAGGCACAGACTGCCAAACATAAAGACTTTCTCTGATCTTCTGAGTTCATGCAGGACTATATGTGACTACTAAGCAGGAACAATTATACATAATAAGGCAACCTTTTTCATGGTTAAGATCAGAGGGATAAGTTGCTTAAACATCAAAGTGACTGCCACCCCCCACTCCTGCAAATATTTCATTAAGTTTTCCTTGGCAGTGTGAATTTGAATATTTAAATTAAATAATTCTCACAATTAAAAAAAAAAAAAGTTAAATGTACCTCAAGGGGAAAAATAGACACGCTTAGCCAACAAAGCACTCTCCGGAGCATTCTTCCCAGAAAGAGGTCTTGTCCTGTGTTTGCAAGAAGCTGTCCTGGAAGCTGGAGAGCAGCCAGGAAGGGCTGAAATGGCCCAACCCCCAACCCCGCTGCAGATTTCAACAAGCGTAAGCCCAGGTACACCTAGAAGGGAGGGTAAAATGTGCTGGCAGAACTTAGGAAAGAAATACAAACAAGGAAATTAATTTGTTTTTAATGAAAGGAGCAAAGGGGAAGTAGAAACAGCAGAAAACCCAAAAAGGAATAGTAGAGATAGAAATGAAATAAGCTAAGGATGAGATAGAAATAGCCCTGGCAGATGTGGCTCAGCAGTTAGAGCGTTGGCTGCGGACCGAAGGGCAGCACATTTGATTCCCGCTCGTGCAAGAGGCAACCGATGCATGTGTCTCTCTCACATCGATGTTTCTCTCTCTCCCTCCCTCCCTTCCACTCTCTCAAAAATCAATGGGAAAATATCCTCAGGTGAGGAGTAACAACACAAAGATGAGATAGGAATAAAGAAAAACGTTTAAAAGAATTTCAAAAAAGACAAAATTTACCTAACAGATATAAAAGCCAAAGATGACCCAACACAGACATAACTGGAATCCTACAGAAGGAAAAATAAAACAGAGAAAGAATTTTTAAATAATCAGTAATAAAACTCTCCTGAAAAAAACGAAGACTTGTATCTGCTTATTCAAAAGGAATATCATGCATCAAGAAAAATTAAACCAGAACAATCTACATTGAGACATGGGCTAATAAAGTTATGGGGATTTTAAGATTAAAAAAATAATCCTCTGGATTCTAGGCAAAAAGATCAAATCATTTATAATTTTTTAAGTATAAAAAGTATTTTTATGTAACATATTTTTTAAAAATAATAAAATAAAAGTGGAGAAGAGAAGGTAGGAGCTAGAAAGCAAGTGAAGACAAAAGAAAAGTTTTTTTAATGTTGACAAAACAAGTGGTGGAGGCGGAAACATAATTACACTACAAAGGTGGCGATAAAAAGATAATGCTCAAGTTGAAAAAGGGTGAGTATAGGGAGAAAGGGGAGAACAGAAGCTCATTTTGTCACTGATGATAGTAATTGGGATTATTATATAATAGTAGACCCTGCATTCCAAAGCCTTAAAGTAACTTTTGTATGAAGAACTTATACCTTTATGTAATACAAGAGAGTTATATAACATATTTATACAAAAATACTAACCTTCCCAAGTACCACAGGAATTACAATGTTAAAATAAGCAAAAAGAAAAGGTAACATAAAATAATATTACAAAACAAAATCAAATATATTCATTGCCATAAGTAAAAATGAGCTAAACTTAACTGAGACAAGAAATAGACTATCAAATTGGATTTCATACAGAAACTAATCTCTATTCTCCAAAAAAGAGATACATCTAGACCAGCCGGTGTGGCTCAGTGGTTGAGCATCGACCCAGGCACCAGGAGGTCGCCAGTTTGATTCCTGGTCAGGGCACATGCCCAGGTTGTGGGCCTGATCCCCCGTGGGGGGCAGGAAGCGGCCAATCAATGTTCTCTCTCATCGATGTTTTGATCTCTTTCTTCCAGTTTCTCTAAAAACTAATAAAGAAAAAAGTTAAAAGAAAAAAGAGATACCTCTAAAACAGATAAATCAGAAAGCTTGAAATGAAAGGGTGGGTAAAGACATCACAGGCAAATGCAACATTTTTTAAATGCAGGCCTCTGCTGACAAAGACATACATTCGAGTAGATGAGATGGAAATACAATCGTTTTACTTTCGGAGCAATCATGAGCATGGGTACAGTTCTCCGTTCCATTAGTTACTACCTGTCCCTAGACGCTAAGCAGAAAAAAACAGACAAGGAAGCCTTTCTGTTACTCTGGGCATTAACTAATCTTAACTCCTCACTAAATTCATTTCTTGCCAAACATCTAAGCCATGGCAGGTCCTTTGTTTCCAAGGGTTCTACCCTAGCCTTTCCAAAATGGAGCCAGAATGCCGGTGAGTCCTTCCTCCCACTGTCTGTCACAGCTGGGTTTCTTAGAATGATAAAACTCTCTATCATTTCAAAATGATCAAACCTCTATTAAAAGGACTTTAGCCCAGCCAGTGTGGCTCACTGGTTTACCTCGACCAACGCCAGGAGGTCTCTGGTTCGATTCCCGGTCAGGGCACATGCCCGGGTTATGGGCTCAATCCCCAGTAGGGGGCGTGCAGGAGGCGGCCAATCTGTGTTTGTCACATGGACTTTCTTTCTTTCTTTCTTTCTTTCTTTCTTTCTTTCTTTCTTTCTTTCTTTCTTTCTTTCTTTCTTTCTTTCTTCCTTCCTTCCTTCCTTCCTTCCTTCCTTCCTTCCTTCCTTCCTTCCTTCCTTCCTTCCTTCCTTTCTTCCTTCCTTTCTCTCTTTCTCTCTTTCTTTCTCTCTCTCTCTTTCTTTCTCTCTCTCTCTCTCTCTCTCTTTCTCTCTCTCTCTCTTTCTTTTTTTCTTTCTTTCTTCTTTCTCTGAAATCAACAAACACATATTTTTGTAAAAAATAACTCTTAAACTCTGAGATATTAAGTACGGCAGGAGAGTATTTAACCTATTACCTATTATTAACACAGACATGTATTTGTTTGCTACTCCATTTGAGAACTTTCCTCTTTAAGCTTATACTAGTATGCACATGATGTTAATGCTAAAATAAAATATTACCCGCAAATAGCCAAGGACAAACTGTGTACAATAAAATTCAAAGCAGTTACCGTCACCGCGAAAGATTCGATAACCAGCTAATAAACATTCTCCCTGAATCTAATATATGCATTTTTTAAATTAATTAAATAGGAATGAATGAAGTAGAGTTAGTGAAGAGACAGCAAGGGAAATACAGATAGGACCGACACAGCGACTGATATCATGCCACATATTCTTGGCGAGAGAAACGATGGTTTCTTTTTAAAGTGGTTCATGCCCATCATTTTTTTAAAAACCCAACAGTCCACAATTATATTAATAAAAAAATACAAGTCCATCCTCCTCTAGGCCCCTTCTCTGCATTCATCATAGGTAACCATGGTTAAATGGGGAAGCATAATACTTTCCAGGTTTCCTATCCAAATACAAATATACTACACACACACACACATGCACGCATGCACGCAAACACACAACACACCCAGACACACACTTTTGGGCTCATTTACTTACAGGTAGAGACTGTACTCCTGCACTCTGTCCGCAGTACCAGCAAGTTCATTTGGTAACAATACGTGGTGGCCACCAGGGCACATGCAGACATGAAGACCAACTTCGTCTTCCCCACGCGGTGCACTGTGGCTCTGCCATTGTGCCACCACACTGAGGGGCATTTTAGCCTTCGCGTGTTTAAAATGACGCAGTGAACATTTCTGTACGGTGTCTTTGTGCAACTGAGTGAAATTGGCTGTAGGCCAAATTGCTAAAAAGGAAATGACTTTGTGCATTTCTATTTTGGGCAAACGGTGCCAAATTGGCCTCTAATATATTTCTCACTAATAGTGTTGTACTCTGACCCAAACCCTCATCCACATTTCACCTTTGTCACATTAAAGGGTCAAGAATAGTCCCTTGTCCTTTTAGTTCACTGTGGGACCACCTTTTCCTGTTTCTATCAGTCACTATGTTCCTTACCTGTTAACTAGCTCTTTATATCCTTTGTCTATCTTTTCTAGGAGGTTGCTGATGTAACGCTTTTTACAAATAATCTGAGTATAAAATTTGGCCCTTTGCCTGAGGCATATTCCGCAAATATTGCCCCCAATTTCTGGCAGTTTGATTTTATTTATGATGTTACTCCCCAAAGGCAACTTGAAATATTTTAATGTAATCAAATTATTTATCTTTTCCCTATGGCTTCTGAATTTGATGCTATGCACAGATGCCTTACTCCCGCTACAAGAATATAAATAAATTATCATTGCTTTCTTGTAGTACTATGATACTTTCACTAAATGTTTGATTCTTCCAGAAATTGTTTTGTTTTTAAGGATCTATGTTGAATTCCAGGTTACTTTTTTCCATGTGGCTAACCAACGTGTCAAGGAAACGTATAATTAAGGCAATAAAATACCATGTTTGCTGGTCAAGCAATGATTCATTACAAATAAAGATGACTTTTATGTTTTATGTTTTCATGTATTAATTTTACTTTTATGTTTTCATGTATTAATTTTACTGTTCATAAATGTTAATAGTAAACTAAAGTAATTTCATAAGTTTTATATGTTTATTAAGAAACATATTCTTCAATTTAAAAATAAACAAGCAATTGTGAGTTCTGTGTTATAGGAACATGAGAAAGAAATAACCCCTAAATTCTTTCTGATGAGCGACTCCTCAAAATGTGAAACCAAATGTATTCCACAAGGATATTTTTAAATAATTTTTCTCAGTAGAGCTCAAATTAACTTTTTAGGGTTATATACAATTGAAATTGCTCTACCCTTTTGCTTTATAAACAAACACTACAACACCTTTATCAAAGTAGCAAATATGTTAGTATCCTGCTCCAGCTAACCCAAATCACAGAAATGGGGTAATTAAAGTCTATAATAATATTGTATCTCTCAAAATCCAATCAAATGGACAAAGGAAATATATAAGGAATGACTGCAATGAGGTATTCTGGGAGGCAAGTCAAGTTTATCACAGAAGTTGAATAATCAGAGAAAAGCAGTGTTGCTTCTCAATGGCGGAGAGACTACCTGGTGTCCTCCCACTTGCAAACTTCTTGCATTACACGTCCTTCCAGAGCTGGCTCTGTCTGTTCTCTGAGCTGACCCCTGTCCTCTCTGTGCTCGGCGTCCCTGCAGATCCTGGGGGGCTGGCTCATCCTGCCCATTCTTGTCTCCTTGCCACCATGACAAGATCAAAATAGCTAGTAGGCAAACAAGTGAAATTAATAGCTATTATTCGCCCCAGTAACCCGTATCCCATATTCTCAGCACCTTTTTTTTTTTAATCCTCACCGGAGGATATTTTTCCATTTATCTTCAGATAGAGTGGAAAGGAGGGAGGAGGGGAGGAAGGAGAGAGAGAGAGAGAGACAGACAGACATTGATGTGAGAGAGACACATGGATTGGTTACATCCCACATGACCCCCAACTAGGGCGGGGGACCGAACCACAATCGAGGTACGTGCTCTTGACCAGAATCGAACCCGTGACTCAGTGGTCCTCAGGCTGACTCTCCAATCACTGAGCCAAACCGGCCAGGGCCTCAGCACCTTTCGAACCGCATCTCTCCCCAAAGAATCTGCTGACACCTGCTTTCATAATTTTTCCTACCCCCACCCCCCACCCCCACGTTTCCTAAAATCTCCCATCCATGTGATGAAGTTCTAGTCTCATCTGAACAGACAGCTTCTTGATCCCCTTCAGAGTGAAAATAAAGTCCTAACAACAGTTTACAGGACGCTAATAATCTGCCACCTCTCCACCCCGGAACACACATCCATCTCCTGGGCTCCACGCAGCATGCATCTGCCACATGGAGTCTTCGGTTCCAGTGCAGAAGACAAGACAACGGGAGAGATGGATGCAAATCATCAGATGTGTTGAGCGTCGACGAGTACATTATTTACCTGGAGATATGGTAGACGGATAAAGCAAGTAGAGCACACATGTGTCAACCAAGACAGAAAGGAAGCGGAGAACCAAGTCAATACTAAATATTCATGATCACCAAGTATACATGAGGCACAGGAAGCCCTGAATTTACATTATCTACTAAATATGCATTAGGACACAAACACTCAGTATCCAATGAGGTCTTATGTCAGCGCCACATTCATAAGTGACACTCAGGCAAAGCCCCACCTGCTGTCTGTCCCGGACATGCAGATAAAGCCCATAGCTGCTCATTGGGCTAACCCTCCGCTCTGGGCCAGGCTCTCCAACAGAGTTAGCATGAGGGGACACCGGGCACCTTCCCTGGCCTCCTCACCTCACCATCAGTCAGAAGGCTGATGCAGTACAGAGAGAAAGGAGACAAATGAACACCAGTCACAGTGCAAGGGGCGTGGCCCTTCCATCTGCTGGACCCTTGTCTAAATGTGTTCATCCACTCCATTTCTTTCTACAGGCTTATAATTCAATGCTTTTGTTTAAAGTTTCAATAAACTGTGTGGTTTGTGCGTCTTCAGCCTGTGAGCTTTCTGTCCTATGGGACAGCTTGCCTGGCTGTGAACCTGGAGGCTGCCTTTGCCAGGCTGTGCTCACACACCCCTTCACCTGGGCTCGAGCCACACATAACTGCGCCACATCCAGATGCCAGCCACATGTGGGGTCCTCAAGTACCTGCGCTTCTTCCAGCCAACTACAAGTCTGGAGGCTCCCACAAACCCCCTCAGCTTTGATAATTTGTCACGATGACTCATAGTACTTAGGAAGGTACTATACTTAAGATTATATCTTTATCCTAAGGGTACAATTCAGGAACCACCAAGTGGAAGAGATGCCCAGGACAGACATGGGAGAGGGGTGGGCCAGAGCACGCCCCCTCCAGGCACGCCAACTGCCCAGCACCCCGGTGTGCTCCCCAACCCAGGAGCTCCCCAACCCTCGCTGCTGGAGCGTTTTTATCAAAATGTCATTTTATGGTCATGGCCAGCCACATTTGGTCATTATAGAGACGGAAATCCACTGTCCCTTGCATAGAAATTTGGCCTGAGAATCAAAGTGCTGAGTCAGTTCAGTGATGGTGAGAAGTGGGACATAGTGACTTCCACAGCAAGCCCAAGAGAGAGACAGAGCAGAGAGATGAGAGAGAGCAAGAGCCTGCAGGTCTCAGGTCCCAGTGCCAGCCTTCCTGGAGCTTGTACACACTTCCCGCCCTTGTACACACTTCCCGCCCTGGTACACACTTCCCGCCCTGGTACACACTTCCCACCCTGGTACACACTTCCCGCCCTGGTACACACTTCCCATCCTGGTACACACTTCCCGCCCTTGTACACACTTCCCACCCTTGTACACACTTCCCGCCCTGGTACACACTTCCCACCCTGGTACACACTTCCCGCCCTTGTACACACTTCCCGCCCTTGTACACACTTTCCGCCCTGGTACACACTTCCCACCATGGCTCCCATGAGTTCTCTCTGCCTACTTATCTGCCTGTTTTGCTTATTTGTTTGAATAGATTTCTGTCCTTTACAACTTAGCACCCCTTGACTAAGGTGGTAGCACGGCCAGCAGGAAGTACGCGCTGAGCCTGCTGAGCGCCCGGAGGAAGTCTCCGAGGCCCGGGGAGTCGCTTACATGAGTGGGACAAAGCTAGAGGAACATGACCCTCTGGGCGGGGGTCGCACATTCAAATTCTGCACCAATTCTTCAGTTTCCAGCACCAATATGAAAAGTCTCTTTATATGACCTCGAGGACGCTGCTTGGTCACCCATGTGCCTCAGCACACTTCACCCTCCAGAATCACTCACAGGAACGTATCTGGGCCCCTAGACTGTCACCTGGGGTTTCCAGAGGCTGCACTGCTCATTGTGAGGACTCCCGAGACAGAAACCATTACAGGCTGGCCACCAAGAGGCCCCGGGGCTTCCCTCAGCTGTGTGGCGTTTTCTGCCTGATTCCGCCACTCACTAAGATGCTTGACAGGCTCCAGGCAAGGGGCCGAAATGAGTCACCAAAGCTTTCCACCTCTGGGTACATCTGCCACCCCCCGGGCCTGTTACGGCTGAGCTCACGATGTCATGGTCAGAGGGCTTTCCAGAGCTGCCCACGGGGGCCTCAGCACGACTCATCCCCTCGGTCCCTGCTCGGAGGCAGGTCCCCTGAAGGCACACTGGTCACCAAACTGTTACATAAAATCCATCTTTTATTGTCTGTCTCTACATAGCATCTTGTCACCGAGGGGACGCTGGCGGTTCAGAGGTGGCCGGCACACGGGCACCCGGGGATTTCTGAGGCTGAGCACATTCAGGTCCAAAGTTTGAAGAGCTCTGGTCAGAGTCCCGGAGCGAGCGCCGTGTGTACATCAGCCCTTCCCCTCGACAGGGCTGCAGGCTCGGCTGTGCTCAGCTCCACCGGGACGGGCTGGGCCCCAGAGGGCAGGGCCGGCCCCCCTGTCTGCAGCCCTGTGCTTGCAGGGCCTGGGCACTGTCCCCAGGGAACACCCGGCCCTTAGCAAGTACTTGGGAAACGTTCATGAAACGTTTAGAAAGAGGCATGATTCAGCCTCTTTCAAAATGCCTTCTTTGGAAGGAACTGAATCCCACCCGAAGTGTTTCAGTCACTGGACCCGCCGGGTGGGGCACCCGACCACCCCTCGCCGAGGCAGGGACCAGTCTGCCCGCCGCTGAGTTTTCCATCCTCCCCTGGAAGGGGGCTAGTCCTGTGTGCCCCGGGACCCA